TACGAGGATATATCGCGTCCCTTTGGTTGTTGGAAGTCCTTCGTGTAGATGCGTTAATCGGCCTGGGAACATCATCGCCCAACCTGTATAGATATTGATTGATTCACTTTGTATCAATTCACTAATTAACTAATTTATTCCAGGAAATGTGATGCCTTAGAAGATTTATACCCATTGTTTCATGACTTGAGGCTTTGGAAGAAATTTGTAGGACTTACCGACTTGATCAGCTGGTACTACACAGTTATATCGTGGATAGCTCACTCCACCACCTTCATAATCTACACCCTTCTTGTTGAGTGCAATATCGATACTGAAATGAACGCGTCTTTCTGATTATAATCTCATTTCCAACACCTTTGAAACCCCAAATGGAGGGGATGGGTAGGAAAATGTACCTGAAAGTACTGGCGTCGTGATGAGGTCTGAGCGACGGCTGCTCATCTGGGCGATAACGTACAACGAACATCATAATCGCTTCAACAGGCTGAAATAAGCTAGAGTATGATTCGAGCTGATGGGTGAACTCCTAAGAAAGGGAGAAGTCCGAATTACCCTATGGAAGTATCCTAAGAAGACTTTTTCCTGTATTGGTCTTACATATTCGTCCAAGAAGTATAACCAATGTCTTTCATACTCGATCTAAAATGAAAGAATCAAAGGATAGCTGATTGTAAGTTTCATCATTGGTCAGTTCAATATAATCAGAATGCGCCACGCATCGATTCCCTTTTAGAATCGTAGTGGCGTTTGATTACGTATCCGTCTTATCGAGTGAAACCCGATGATCATCTAATGAGTTAAGTGGTATTTTTACCTTTTCGATCGCTTATTAGTTCATCAACTGTAAACACCTCAAGCGGTTGTGTGAATGGGGTCTTGAGCCCCGGACCCCTCTATAATAGAGGCACGCTCTACATTGCATACCTCAGCCAGCAACGAGAGATCAAGACCAGTCTATCATCCTTCAGTGGGGTATCCCTTCGGCGTGCATTTCGTCCAAGGTGGCTCAAATTTTGTTCTTAGCAATGTAGCTCATTGCAAGTTGCCGTATGGGTATTCGCCCCCCAAAAGGTTTCCAAATGATTTCAAAAGGAAGTCCAATACATGGCGCATCCTGTTTGCACTTCTCACACACATTCCAACTATACCAGAAATAACACTTACCTGTCTCATATGAATATCCCTAGTAGGAACGTTCTCATAGCCACCAGCTAAACGATCGTCCTACAAGAAAATATAGCCGGATTTTTTGAAGCAAGGAATAAAAATAATTGGGAGACGGTACCTTATTCGAGCCACTACTCCAATGACCATAATGTTCCATTTCTTCGATCATCTCTTTACAAAATCTTTCCGAAACTAGCGGATAGTCATAGACATCAGTACATGCTTGCTCGATTACGGTATCTTCTGCCAGCAACTTGTGATATTCCGGATGCAGATATCGTGCTTCCCAAATCTGAAAAAACGCTAAAGCTTTCGGTGGTTTCTGAGAATTGCACAATGCTCCCATAGAATCGATACCTGGCGGTTCTCGAAGATTTCCCACATTTCTGGATGCAATTTCCCTCTCTTAAGAACTTCCACGTATTCGTCGCTGACAATCAGGAATCCAAAGTCCTGCTCGTTGTCCACATACATAAAGTGACCCTAGAACCGGTAGAGTTAAGGTAAAGGTATGTGCTAAGATGGTAGTGGCTTGAATACCTTATCTCTGGCCCATTTACAGAACGACATGTCTGGGTCGAGTATTTTGTCGTAGAAGTAGGGCGTTTTCATTTCTCTCATTTTCTCTTTATTTATGAGCACCGCAGAAGTCACAAACGGAACCTAAACACATCTATGTTGTACAATTACTAATCTTAATCTATTTAGTAATGCCAAGCCTGACATTCCAGAAGCCAACACGTTTTCGTTGAACGATTGCCATATAGTCTTCGCTTCTTGCATAATATCCATTGGGTGCAATATCGCCCCAAAAGTTCGTGAACATCTTTCCTGGCTGTGCAAGCAGTGGAGCAATGATGCCTCTGGAAATAGTCGATGGTAAAGACTATGTATTAAATTTCTTTCTTTTACCGTGGTAATGTGTAGACGTGGTCCAGTGACAAGTGCGCCTAATGCGGAGCTCACCACGAGAGGGATACCAAAAGACTATACTTTCATCCTTTAATGTACGTTGTAGTGCAGGCAAGCCCTTCAACAGCGCAAGGCGGAGGTTATACCCTGGAACGGTAACTGACGTCTGAAAGTGGGGTAGTATCCACATGGAAAGGACAGAAGAATACAAGAGAGAGTGAAGTCATCTTTCATTCTGTTCATTACATTGAAAGAAGTACCAATCTCTAGAGTTCATGGACTGGCCAATTTCATCTGTCAGATGCCCATAAGTAACATTCGGTCTGGATGTGGGAGCACGTACTCGCATCACATACCACGCTCGCCTCATCAGCGGCGAGTAGGAGCGCGCCGTGTGAAAGTAATATTGGAACTCTCACTGGATGGCTGCAAGGATTGCTTCAGAACCACTGCTGCGTGCATGCCTGCGATCGTGGAAATACGGGTTCAAACCTCTTGGACTGCACTTGTTCAGCTGTTTAGGTCCATACTTATAAATTGGTTACTTACACTTCATAGTTCACTGAGTATTCGATCAAATACTGTAGTGTTTTGTCGTTCGTTAGGTAAGCATCTCCATCCAGTGAAAAGAGGTATTCGGCATCATGGCGAGAAGCAAATGTCCTGCAATGGATACGTCATCAGCAGGGGCAGAAGGATGACAGATTCTCTTCAGAACGAAAGGACCTACAAAGCTTCCTGTCTTGCTTCACGTTCTTGGATTTCCGTCACACCATTGAAGACTTTCTTGGTGTAATACTGGGAACCGTACTTTGAAAGGAAGTCCATTACCTATAAGTGGAACCTTTAAGAGGAATGGATCACGGTATGATTTCGAAGCTCATACTGTTTTGATGTTGGATTGTTGTGAATTGTATATGAAGAGCGCAATTCTCTTCTTGGGGTAGTCAAGACGAGCGAATGTCTCGAGCATCTGCAAATAAAAATTTTTAATCCATAGCGAGAAGCTACCAAATACAGCTCCACGAACCTCTTCTATGAAGGGAATTGGCTTGGCGATAAAGACCGCTATAGCGACAAGGGGATAGTCGGCTGGGTCCTTTTTCTGGACAAGAAATGAAACAAAATTATAAGAAATAAAATAAACCATGTAAATAATATTATTGATAAAAGTCGATACAACTCACAGCTAAATCGAGTTTTGGTTTCTTTCCACAAATTGGACATCCTTTTGTGGATGACCACCGTTTGGAAACGTAATTTGCCAGATAGTTCAGATATCTTTTACTGGGACCATTACCATGGAGGATCGCTGGATAAGTGTTGTAGGCAGCATTGTAGGCCTTTAAATTGTATACTAAGGATACTGTAGATTGACTAGACGTTGAAAGACACAGCTGAATTTACCAGAGCAGTTCCGTCGTCATCAAACTGTAGCTCCACATCGTCAGTTACGCCGTTGAGATTTTGGAAAATCCTCGACACCGAATCGAGACCGATTTTGAGATCTTTCTGGAAAACTCTTTTTTCTATCCAATCTTTCTATCTAGCTACAGTAAGACCAACAATCTTATTACAGTAATCCATGATTGAGTAAATGATCGAATATTTTCACTGTTCCCTTTCAGTGTCATTACTTTGACTACTCTCCCCTCTTTTCATTATGGAGGACAAGGAGCATCGCATTAGTTATAACCGTGTTCATACATACATAATTGGCTGTTCCTACATACGCGAACTCAAGAGTTCCCACGAGATTCAATCAAAGACAAATTAGAGACTTTACAAGACAGCTGGTCGTATCTGGTTTCTACCAAGTAAGGGATCTGATGGATTGGCGTTGCTGGTCTACTAAAAAGCACTTTCGGATATTCCCTCAGCCTTATTTTTGGTCATATTCGTCCAACCTGGTTCAAAGCTGAGAAAAGATGCCCAATTGAGTCAGCATGGAATCCATATAACAATGACCTCATGTACTCCTCTTGATTAACACAAAGCAAGAGAAGTGTGATGTGAGCTACAACTATAGCTAGCCTTCCCATATCCCCTGGTATTTGAGTCCTAATGGGAATAGCCCAAAAAGTTCTTTCGCAGCTATCGGGGATTTGAAATCTATCAGATCGACTGTGGACGTAGAATATTCTCTGTTTCATTCAGCTACTACAGGTCGCTCCGTCCCCCCCCCCCCTCTCC